ATGCTGGCCGCCCTCAAGCTGATATAGCATGGAGACAGTGATTTGCAACCCCAAAGAGAACTAAAGCCAGAGTAAGATGAGCTGCAAGCATCACAGGATGAGTTATTTACCAGCAAATCAACAAAATGAATCTCAGGCAGCAAAGCCCCTGTGCTCCAGAAGGTATTAGAAAGCACAATAGTGGCATGCAGCACAGGCAGAAATACCTGGCACTGCTCTTCCTGTGGAGATCTCCAGCTTTCTAGCAATCTGCTTTGCAAAAGCTCTACATGTACAGTGGATTTCACTCTACGCCTGGAGCAGACACAAAGCTAACCCTCTGCTGGCGATTCTGAAATGGGAAGTTCCACTCTAAGCAGCATTTCGGAAGGCAAGACCTCCCTCTGAATCTGTCCCCTGGGGCAGATGACTGCCAGCACGGCTGAGGTTTGTGTGCCAGCGCTGATGGAGTCCTGTCTGTCCAAGGACAGAAGTGGCTCAGGACCAGCTTTCCTCCCAGACAAGAGCTTGCCCACATTGCAGCTGGCCACACTGTGAGCTGGGGCTGATCTGACCCAGAAGTACATGAAAATGGCACCTCTCCTCTCTTCCTAGATGCCACCAGCACCACTTTATTCTTTGTACAGTTCCATCCTCAGCAACGCAGCCTGTCACCCTCAAAAACTCACCAGGAAGCAGCTCATCCTGCCTGAGCCGACAGCTCCTCAGCTACATGCATCCCCGACACATCCCACCCCTTAATGAGCACCGGGCTCGTCTCCCTGAGTCACCATTAGCTGCACCCCCTGCCAGGCATGTAATAGTGCTGCACGCACTCACCTCCCCTGTTCAGCAGCAGCAGCAGCTTTTCTGTGAAAGTCTTGACATTCGAGTGCTTGCTTATTGTAGTCATGATCACACTGTGTTCTGGAACTAAGAAGAAACCTGTTCAACACATCCCTTTGTTTCCTGAAGGCCACAGTAATAAAAAAAAATAAAATGGTGGAGGGCTCCTATTTCACACTAGTGCTCTAGGGAGCTTTGAGGAACCACAGTCTATCAGGGCTACGAAAAGTTTCAGCCCCACAGAGTGGGTGGGAAGGGAGAGAGAAGGTGAAATAAATCTGGAAACAATGCATGAAACACTCGGGACTTTGTGCTTTTTATGTGCACCTGCCTCACATATGGGCTCCAGTCCTGCCAGCCAAATACTGTGAAATACGTTGCAAAGGTTTTACGTTATCAAACATTACCTCTGCTCACAACCCCCTGAAGCCAAGGGCTCCACGCTCCAGTATCCTCTTACTTCATATCAGCAGTGCCCCGCCGGAATTTATTGCCTTGCAAGCTCTCATAAGAAGGGATGGCCAGGTGCCAGGAGCATGCCAGAAGGGAAAAATTCTTCCCAGCACTCAGCATCAGGCTGTGCAAGGGTAGAGGATGAAGACTTCTTCTAGGAAGTGTCCCCTAGCCTGTTTTGAGGGTGGTTTGTTGTTACTAAAATACGTTCACCCTGGTAGACCTTACACGTGTGTGAGTGTGCACACTCAGAAGCACCCAAGCAGCACAATGTGGCTATTTCTGTGGCATGGGGTTGGCAACCCTATAATATTTTACAGGCTGAAAAGTGCTTTAGGATCCCTTACATTGAAGGGCATCAATATAATATGCTTTTAGGAGAGTTTTTGAACTAATGCTGCACCACTGAACTGTATGATAGATGAATCTTGCAGACAGAGGAATAAAAAATTCAATCCACTAATAAGCAATCTGAACATCATTTAACACATTCTTAGCATCAGAGAACAAGTCACTGCTCTTGGCTACACCCCAGGTGGGCAATAAGCCCCCAGAAACACACTGCCTCTCATGCATTACTGCCTAATTACTGCAGCCAGGAAGTACATGGGTAAGTGTGAGAAGGGGTAATGAATGAAAGCAGCAGAGACTGCACTTAATGGGTCTCTGTGCAATCAACTTTCACATGAAATTAGAAACTTTCACATAAATTTTAATGAAGCACAACTCAAAATAACAGGTAAATTACTGGACACATCCTTGCTGCTTTACCCTCTCCTCTCTCCACAAAGCCAAGGATAAAGCCATGAAGCAGAACAAGAGGAAGTAATTAACTAAAGACAGCTGGAGCAACAGGAGATTTTGGGTTAAGGAGTGTCCTCTCTTAGGAGGACCTGGAACTACTCTCCAGTCCTCCAACCACAGACTTCAAAACTCACAGGCTGTGAGAGGGCAGATGCTCTCTCTAGGGACCAGATGTGTCTGTTCTTGTGGAGCTCAGCAGGGGAGGAAGGACAGAGAATGAGGGCAATCAGAAGAGAGTGCAGCTCAGGCCAACGTCGAAGAGCCTGGCCCCAACACATGGGCATTGAATGAGGTTCAGGAAGTGCAGCTGGGTAAGCAGATTTGTCAAGACCTACCAAAGGCAGAGGACTTTCTTCTGGACTGGTACCAAGAAATGCCCGCTGAAGAATTTTCTCTCCCAAATCAGCTGTGCCTATGAGTTAACCCCACTCATGTTCTGCAAGTGCAGCCCAGCAACTGCTTTGATCCAGGCGGTGTGAAAGTACAGAGAGAAATCTGCCAGGCTTCACAGAGCTCCTGTGCCCCAGAGGGTCAGTTGGTTGGACATGGGCTCTCAGACTGTTTTCTCCTCTAGGGTTTTGCACAATATTTAAACACAGTGTATTGCCAGAGGCTCGGGGAGCTGGAGACGTTATCATCACACCATGAAGACCCAGTGAGATTCTCCCTCCCCTCTTCACACCCTCACTCCAGACCGAAATCCTGCCAAGGCAGAGCAGCACCAAACTGACCTGGAATGTGGAGATTGAAGGCCAGAAGGACATTGACAAATAAATCAGGCAGCTGGTCGGTGGTGTCCGAGGGCAGCCCGTCCTCAATCACATCCAGCAGGAACTGCACAAACTGAGAGTTGAGATGTTCTGCACAAGGAGAAAGAGGGGCATTTACAACACAGTGAAAATAAACCAAGCCACTTCTCCATGCTGTTATGCTTAAAAATCCATCAGTGGAGCACCAGTGTCAGCCTCCAGGGAATTAACAACCCTGCAAGTAGACTAGATAGACCACTGAAGTGTCTTTGAGAGAGACAAGTGGCTCAGAGAACTATCCACAGTGCAGGGGAACGCTGAAAGTTGGTCCCCCACTGGCAATTTTTTTTTTGAGTAAATAAAACACCAAATCTTGCTCTAGCTGTTGCTGTAGCATCACTGCCACCAATGAAGGCTTCAGGTAGGAAGAGATTTGTATTCTTGACCACTGGTTTAATCCATCTACTTTAAAAAAAGTAATCATCCAGATCATTAGTAATAACCCATTTTTCAATCTAGCTATTAGGAAAGCTCAGGAGCTCATGCAAATAAGTCCACTTGCAGGAAATAATTGCCAGGGTTACACGAGGAGAGAAAAGCAGGAGGTGTGGAGGCTCATTCCACGGTCTCTACTGCACCAGCTTAAATCTTCTATGTGTTTACCAGGGTGTTAAGGTGAAACTGCTGAGGAGATGCTTCTAAAAATCTCTACTGCATTTCTGGAAAACTGAACCCAGAGTTTCCCAAATAGGGGAACACAACATGGCCTGGGGAAGAAGCAGGCAGGCAGGGCTTCCTGGCTGAAGGTTGGAATGAAAGGGCAGAGGATAAAACAGGCAGATCTGGCACAACATTTGCAGTTCCTTATTGACTGCAATACCCTTAATCATTTCTGCTTTCCCTAAGAGCCTGAAGTACACAGGGCTGCACCGCCCTGTTAGAAGGGAGACCAGGAAGAGGCCACATTCTGCAGCTGACACCTGTAGTGGGTGTTCATGAAGCGATCTGGGCTCTCAGCCTCATCAGCAGACAGAGCATCTCTGAGGCAAGCAAGAGGTGCATGCTTTCACACAGGGCACAGGTAAAATAAAACGATGCTCAGTCACAGTGATGGGCAAATCCACCTCTTCTGCAGCATGGCATCAGTCCTCCACTGCTCTAACCCAGATTTGTGCTGCTCTCTGGAAATCTGGCATCTCAGCCCAGTGTTTCTGCAGCCAGGCTCTGTTGACAAAGACCAGACCCTACTCTTGCCCTGCTCATGCTGGGCTCTCCCCTAGCTGTCCTTACCTTGGCCACCAGAAAAGGTCCCTTCCCTGTGCCTGCTGGCGCACCCCAGATGGCCCACCGTCACACCTGCTGTCCTACCAAGTCGTAAGCATAAGCTGCTCTTACCATAGTGATGATATGGCAGGGGCTCCCCCATGGAGAACATCATTGCGAGCACCAGTGCAGAATAGCACATCTTTTGATGATCTGCAAGGTAAAGGTCCTGCCATTAGTTCTTCTGAGGATGCGAAACACTGCTCCTCAGCTGCAGCTGGGAAGTCACACATTCAATACAGACATTTAACACCGATTAGGTTGCTTCTCATTCCTGTATTTACTGAGCTATAAGGTTGTTTTTCCCCCTGTTTAAACATACCACACACCTTCTGTGCCATGTGTTTCCAAAGCAATTTAAAAATAATCACAACAAGAATTCTTGATTTTTTTCCCCCCTTCCACTTAAGAGAATCTGGGCAAACTCGATCTGAATAATTAAAAACCTCCCCTGCACAGTCCCAGGACACATCCCATAGTTATGCAATTACTGAACCCAGAAAAAGCATCCATCTGGCCACCTTGAAACATCGCCTGTTCCAACCAACACCACCCCCGGACAGTTATGCTGCTTGTTACCATCTCTGCATCGCTCTACTTTCGCTACCTCAGCTCCGCCTGGAGGTGTAAGAGGTCTCTTGGGAGATCACTGCTCATGACTCGGGCTGTGCATCTGCCCACCTCCCAGGCCACAGGCGTCTCCTGCATTAACACGTCCCGCAGCCTGCTAGTCCAACACAATTTTTGCTGGCAGCAGCTATACGTGAATATTCCCCAGAACCACAGCCAGTGCCTTTCCTGAATTTTAATTAACAGATACACCTCAACAGATATTTGCAGAAGAAAAGAAAAAAGTCATGGAATAGGATCTGTGTCATCATCAAATGTAGCCTCCATCCAGTTGAGCAAGTCTGAAGACGATAGGAAAAGGAGTATTATTTTTATAAAGTAGGCTACCACACATACTGACTAAAAGTTCAACTACATGTGCCAGAAAGAGCCTCGGGGCACTTGTTACAAGGAAACTGAGGGTGTATTTATAAAAAAAACTGACCAAAACTACTTTTCATGAGAGGGGGAAAAAAGTCTCTTCAGTGTATGATGCTCCTCCCCACAGTACTGCTTCCCCACACCATACGTGCTGGTTCCAGCACCCCCCTCCAAAGCCTTTAAGACATTTCACTTTCTCTATACACAAATCGATCCATCTCTAAGCACCTGCACACCGTAGTTTGGTTTTAATTGTGCAGGCTGATGTCTTCACTGTCACTGAATACTCCTGGACTTGGCCAAAGGACTTGCAACACTTGACAGCTCTCAGATTTACTGTTAACGTGGCAAGGAGGAATGCTAGCAAATCAGCCTCATGCTCCTGGAAAGTCAAATCTGTGAGCAAAGTCTCTATAAACAAAGAGCATACAGACTTTGACAGAGCTCCACGAGATAGTTTTCAAATCACGAATACTTTGAGTAAAAATAGATCATTTGTGGCTTAAACAGAGATACTACAACACCGACAAGATTAAGAGTGTAGGAGTGCACTCCAGACCATGTAGCAGCAAAGGAAAGTTGGAAACTGCTGTTTACTCTTGGTAAAGGAGGATATTCAGTGACTTAAATATAATTCATATTTATATAAGCTCTCAGTTATCAGTGATGCCAAAGCTCACGGTAGCAGAAAAAGAATCTGACAAACTGTTTGCCACGTGATTTCTTCGTTCTTTCCTCCACAGCTTCAGGAGCTGGGTATCAGAGGGAGGATACTGCAGTAGGCAGACAGAGGAACCTGCCGTTCCCATGTTCCTAGAAAGGCTTTCACAAACAAAACATTTTCTCTCATCACATCAGGAGCAACGAAATAGTGATCTGAGAACCAGAAGCCAGTGATAAACTTGTGGTTGTAGCAAATATGGAGGAAGAGATTAATTAGGGATGGGGGAGGAAGGTAGTTTTACACATCCTTGGCCCATCTGCCAAGAACTGACATCCATTCATCTTGGTTGACAGCAGACTCCACTACTAGGTGGCAAATGTTGTCGTATTTGCCTAAGGATGCTGAAACCAGTCAGAAAGCTGATCTCAGGGCAAATCCAGATTAACCCAGTACACTTGCTCAGCACAGACTCTACAAGTTTTTGGAGTGTCCAGCTGCAGCAAGACTCATCCAAGACTCACCATGCTGAAGAACAGAGTAATTGCCAGTCAAAGCACAGTTTTGGGGTGGATTGTTTTTTTTCCCCCCTTCCAAAGCAGCACCAGTGGCTGCAATAAAGTAAATAGCATTAATACAACTCTCCTGAAGCAGAGGGACTCTGCTGACGACAGACTGATAAGCATCACTCAAGTGGCTGTGAAGGGCAGGAGAGATGCGTTTGTTTGCTCACCAGCCTGCATTTCCGAAGCCTGCTGAGGTACTGCTAAGGAAGCTGCTATCACATATGAAAGGTATTTCTCAGAGGCCTTCAAAGACCTTGCTTCCAACCTCTAAACACAGCAGTGCAAAATCTGGGCACTGGGAGCAGACACAACTGTCTACAACTGAAGTGAAAAGAACCCGACAGCTGCCTTGCATATACACTGAGCTGTAACAAGGGAGAAAGTCAAGATTACAGACTGGATTATCCCCGTCTGTTTTCTTTGGAATTGTTCTGGCTAATTCTGCCTCGCTGTGGCTTATTATAAGCTCTTCTAACACTGATAGATGTGCAGGCCAGCCGCAGCAGAGAGAAGTGGCTGTCCAGAAGCAATAAGACCCAAGCATCTGGCAGCAGAACTGGCCAGCAGCCAACACGCCTGCATCAGCCCCAGGGTAAAGCGCCTTCTCATCAAAGGCACCCAGCATCCACACACAGAGCTTCTGCCTCGGCTGCTCTTCAGTAACAAGCCAGGAGGGATCCCACAGAGCTGCTGCAGCCAGTTCAACGCTCCCCAGTTGCTTAGTGCTGGCATCGATTGCTCTGGCCCCTGCCATCCACAGAAGGGATTAGCTATTCCACAGTATGTCACGGATCAGCTGCTATTCCCCAGTTTTTAGTACCAAAATAAGCTCAAGTCATTCTAGGATTCAAGGTCATGTTTTCGCACAAGGTACGCCTGCCATTTGCTGGCAGGACATGGAGCAGTAAGCACCAGAACAGCAGGAGGGAACTACTAATGCCCTAAAACACCTCTGAAGGACAGACACGTTTGGGTCAAGGATGGTTAGCTCTTTGCAGCAGCACTGCAGAGAGGAAGAGGACTGGATGCCGCACAGATGACATTTGCGCAAGCGCCTGCCATAACCTTAGCACAAGGCAGGCAGCACAGGATCAGGACACTGATTTGAGAGGCTCCTGTAACCAGAAGTGGGCTGTCAGCAAAGGAAGAGCAGCTTTTCACCCTTTGACTGTACTGCCTACGTATTATGGCAAGCAGGGAAAAAACCCCTCGCCTTGAGATGAAGCTAGGGCAAGAAGAGATCCTGCAGGTCGGCAGTTGCAGGACAGAGCAGAGACACTTTTCACCCACTTCCACTGTGAGGCTTCTTAGGTCCCCAAAGCAGAGCTGTCGCTTGCTGGGAGACAGGCCTGCTTCAACCAGAAGTGCTACATGGAGATCAGCAGAAGTGTGCAGAAGTAACCTAGCTCAGAGCTCGATGCTCTGCTATATCACAGCTGAGTTGGCTGTGCTATCTGGGAAGATGCAGACCCTGGCAAAACGCCCTGGACAGCAATGCTGCCACCAGGCAAGGAGTAACAAGGGTGAGCAGCCCACCCTGCCTGCACAAGGGCAGCTTGGGGGACAGAGTAGGAGGCTGATGCCTGTTTGGGCATGGTGCAGAAGATGGTCACCTGGAGCCAATCTTTATGAATTAGCGATGGATGCACGATAAAGTTTATCACAGTCATAGTCCCATAACCAAGTATTATTTGCTCCTTGGGCAGTAAAACTGCAGCCTAGAGAAGAAGCTTCTCATGCATAACCAGGTAACACACCAACAGCATAAGAAGTTCATTGCATAGAGTTGATAATTACTGGTAGCACAAAGAGAAAGTGTAGCCAACACAGGCGTAAGGATCTCAGCCCCCTACCACACCACTAGTGCTTTGCCCTGCCCTGAAACACTATTTTCCAGGCACTCCCCACCTTTGAAATGCCTGCACTTCAAAGCATCTAAGCAAAGACAAGCACAAAGCCTTCTGCAACAGGCTTGATTTTCTCCTCCCATACCCCTTTTCCAGACACCAGATTATCCCCTTAGTCCTGTCCACCATGCAGTCAGGTTGGCAGAGCCTATGGTGGGACGCTGGGGACAGGGACATCTATTATGCATGTCCAAGGTGGCCATCTGGGACATTTACTTGGCTCACATGAAATGGATGTAACGGTCCTTGTTCTGTGCAGGCTTGTCAATCCATACACAGTCTCATCACTAAATTATACTTCTCCACAGATTCATGATGCCCACAGCAAACCAATAGCTACAGACTGCAATCAGGGCAGCAAGGCTCCGAACACTGGGGCTCTTCTGATTTGATCCACGTGATCACTCAACAGGTACTTTACTTGTGGGTCACAATTAGCACAAAACAATGGATTTTCAATATCCCTTTAAGGGAAAAAAGTAGTATATACCACTGCAAGCACCGGTGGCCTACAGGCTAACTGCAAAACAGGGAGCAAAGCTGTGCCTGCCCAGGGCCGGGCATGCATGGGGAGCTGGAAGGTAATGTCAGGGCCGTCCTACTACATGTTCACTTTGTTCTTAGGCTTCTCCTCAGCATCTGCTCCTGGCTGCTGGGAGATAAAGGACACTGGGTTAAGCAGGAGCTCTGAGGAACAATGCTAGCAAAATCTGACCACACCACCACCAAGCTTTCGAACACATGGAGCTGAAAGGGCAGGAAGGACATTCCCGTTAATAGCAGGGACAGGTCATCCTAACAAATGGAGCAGGAGCATGCAGTAGAAGGAACATGAGGGCAAAGCCTGGGTACGGAAAGCAAAGAGCTGGGAAAAGCAGGGCAGTGACACTATCCTGCAAAGGACCAGGACCACAACTTTGTTAACAGCACAACCAACTCCCTCGATACAGTGGTGGAGAGAAGGTCCTTTCCTTTAATCAGCACACATCTCATTCACCAGCAAGAAACACTGCAAAGATCTAGTGTAAAGTGCTGAGAAAACCTGCATATAAGCAGCTGCAGAAATCTTCCTTGAGATCCGCAGGTGTCTCTTGTCAGCATCATGAAACAAAACTGGAACAGCTCAAAACATGCTTTAAGACATCTACAAGAATGCAGATCACTAATGGCGCATTCAAGAGCTAGAGGGCCTTGCATCACTGGACTGAAACATCCCCTCCTGTGCATTCTCCACTTAGAGCTGTAATAATCTGAACAACTTTAAAAACAGACACCCTTCTCCCCAGAGCACTGGGCAGGTAGAGCAGTCAGGGGCCACCAGTGCTGCTGTGAATCATCTAATGGAAAGACACGTCCCTTGGAACTGGGGTACAGCAGCTCTGGCTCACCTTGTGTGTGAGTCTGCATGTCCCGGGCCAGCTCCATTGGCAGCACAGAGTTTACAAGCGTTGAGATGACCGCAGCATCCAAGTTGCACATGGCTCCAAAGCACTTCAACAGCAGCAGCCGTAACGGCACCCTGTGTTCCTGCAAAAACAATTTATTAGATCAAATGACGTCCCAAGCAAGGGCTTGCTCTAACTGGCTAGAAGTTCCTGCTGTTGGGAAGCTACAGACCCTCCCAGGATGACGGTGAACCCAGAAGCTCTACTAGCTTTTAGCAACAGCGTAGGAGTCCTTTTACAATAATGTTCATAACTGGGCTGGCTACAGGCTGTTAGCACATGCGGTCAGATGGCAGGTGGCAGCCAGAGCTCAGATCTGAAGTGCCCCACTTAATATGATACAAATCAACAACCTATACCCGTCCCCAGCAAACAAATTTAATTTACTGGGTAGCCAGGATTCTCTGAGCACACTGAGGTTTTGCAAGTGCTGCTCTGAAGGATGTTTCCCGACAACACGGTATTTGCAAACTCTCTTCAGCGTGTCATGGTTAATGATCAGGATGGGAGCAGCTCCTCCACTGTGAAGCTGTCAGGTTTGCACTGGGAGCGGAAGGTATAACCAGAAAGTTTTGGGACATGCAGGGATTCCAGCAAAGACGATGCTCAACCTGCAGCTCAGCTCCCACACAGGAGCTCTGGTGCTGGGGTAACCTTCATACTCCAGCCTCAGCCAACAACCCCAGGGTTGAGAGAGGAGTGAGCCAAGCCCTGCCACTGGGCACGACCAGCCAGGACAGGAGACCCAACTGCTTTCCACTTGGCCAGGCTTCCTTGACATGTCAGAGAAGGGCAGGCAGTGAAAGCCAGCAGGCTCCATTAAACCTGCCTTCTGCCTTCCCACTGCTCTCAGATACGCAAGCTCTGGTGCCAAGCTCTGAGTTCAGGCACATAAGTGCCAGATGAAAGCTAAATGCTGCTTTTAAAAGGCATGATGTGCTGTAGCTGGAGAGTTACGGACAAGATGAGGACAAGTTTCCAACCCCCGCAGAGTCCTACAGCATCAAATTCCAAGAAGGAGAGGGACAAAGCAACACTGCATAGGCATTGAAGGCAAAACTTCCATTTCTTCCTCTGAATACTGATTTTCTTCCTCACTCCCAGGGCTTCTACTCACAACCTACTTTCCTAAGCAAAGCTGTTTACTAATGCACAAGAGTGCATCAATTAAAAGAGGAGCAGTCACAGCCTGTCAGCTTTCCCAGGGCATCCTCAGAAATCCTTCCTCTAGACATTAGCAATGCCGATTCTGTTCCTCAGTGGAGCTAATAAAAGCAGCAAGCTTTACCCTTCACAGTGCTAGCTACCGCTTCGAAGTCTATAGCGTCCTCTGCTCTTCCATACAGCTTGCACGCACAGCATTGACATTAGCCAGCATGCAAAAGGGACGAGCTGCAACGCCGTCTAGCTCACAGAACCGCCCTATCCAGCGGGAACGTCTTACATATATTCATCACAGCAACCCTGCTCTTTTACACCTTCATGAAAACCTCAAAAAGAGGAGAGATTTGATGCATTCTGCCACCTTACCATCTGATAATATGCCACAAGGGACAGGACTGATTCAAACTCGTTCTTCTTGCACATTTTCTTGCAAACTTCTGGGTCTGCATCTGTCTGGAATCAGGAATGAACGGGTCAGCAAGGTGCCTGCTGCAGGGACCTCGAGGGAGGCCAGCTGCTTTCAGATCTCCATAGCCCCAGCCCAACTATCTCACAAAGAAACTGAAAGCAGAGCACAAAGACAGCTCAAGAACCACTCCCCTGCAGATTCTGCATCAAAGCGAATTATTGAGAAATGTCTCTGCCACACAGCATGTCTTGGGCTGAAAATGTCTAAAAAAACCCCACGACCCGAGCAGCAGCTTGATGAGTGCATCATGCAGTTGCACACAGCAGCTCCAACGCCGTTCCCACCCTGAAAAGTATTGTGAGTCTCCTCCCACCTCTAAACTAAGAGGAAATGGTTGAACAAAATCCCCCTCTGCCTTGCCCTGCAGGCCCACAGCGAGGCGGCAGGCCATATGTTGGGTGACTAAGACACTGGCATTTATTACACAAAAAAAATATCTGTTCTGCTTATGTCAGTGCTAGAGAGGAATATGAAACGGGCACCAGAGCAAACCCCACACCAGCACTCATAACAGACCATGTCACCGTGCTGAGCGGCAGCTCCCATACCATCACACTCCCTGCACGCGGATGGGATTGTACGTGCTAGTGACAGCATTGGGACAGTACTTTCCACTGCTGCTCACTATGGGGATGTACCTCTCCTATATGCACAGATGTGGTGAGATACTTTATACTTGCTCACAAAAATAGCTTTGAAGCTCACTTACAAGACAACCAAAGAGTCTTCTTTGCATGTAATGGGCCTCATCCTGCATGTACTTCCCAGCCACAGAATACATTTTAAGTGGAGGACATTTTCTACAGGCCTAGGAGTGCAACAACACCCACAGCAAACTTCTAGGTTTGCTGTGAGACAACAGTTTTTTGTTTTGGAGGTGAGGGTTTGTGTTCTCCTGTGATAGGTAAATACCACTGGTACCATGAAGAACAGTCCTATAGCTTTTTTCAGAACGGCTTTGTAAGGTGGAGCAGAGGGCAGCTCAGGAGCACTGCAGACCTCACACAGGAGGGCAGGGCTTCACATCGACGGTAAGGGATGCACAAGAAAACTATGCCCTCTGGAACATCAGATCTAATGGCAACACAGGAGGTCAGAAAAAGAGAACTTCACTGGGACTGTCTGCTCCGTCTATAGAGAAATTTACTCACCAGGATGCGAAGGAGCTCCTCCAGGTAGCAGCAGATGACGTTCTCATCCTCGTAGAGCGCCCAGCTGCGCTGCTGAGCATCATCCTTGTGCCTGGCCAAATCTGCAAAGATCACCTCCAGCCGCTGCTCATCGTGGCAGATCTGCCCCGAGGGCAGCCCCGCACTCAGATTCTGCGCAATAGCAAAACCACCGGTTAGTGGGGTCCTGACAGCCAGCTATTGTTTGGGTGCCTGTTTCCTCTAATCTTTGTCTCAGGACTGGCAGCTGACCTCATTCAGTCAAGAGCTGGCAGCAAAAAGACAACAAGTTTAAGACACATGTGTTATTTCAGCTCTCATACTTTTGGGGCCTCTACCCGCCTCCTTTCCTTGCACAGCTAATGCAGTGAATGAATCAAAATAGGCGCCAGAACTGGTACATGGTCAGAAAGTCTTTAAATCCAAGCTGCCACCATCCTGCTAAAGCATTAGCTGTCTTCTGAGGATGTTGAAGAACCCAAGAAACCTCACTTAAACAAAGCTACACCCTTCTTCTTACTGCTTTTAGTAACCAAAGGCTAATCCAAGCAAACCAACATTCCCGAAGCCGTGGGAATTTGTACCAACGTCTCTCCTGGACCACATAATTGTAACCTCTTAGCACGCATACACACCGCAAACTTCCCCACTTCCCCTCGCAGCAAGCCACAGGGTATTTGCAGAGCACCATGGGCTGCCTGCCTGCCCTGGGGAGGGTGAACGCTGCAGTAAGGGCAATGCTCATTTCCTGTAAGAGGAGCTTAAGGCAAGAAGCCAACTCAGATGACCACAACCCTCTGCACATTTCATAGCACTTAAAGCCAAACTGGCCAGAGTACTACGCTCAGCGCCAGCTAAACCCTCACTCTCCCCTCCCAGAGGGCAGGCGGACAACACCACATCTTTCACAAAAGCAGTCCAGTGCATGCCAAGAGCACGGGGTAACCCAACCTCAGTGAGCTCTATTATTGCCCCACAGAACAAAACACTGGTTTCCTTCTAGGTGCAGGCATCAGGCAGGTGTTCAGAAGCCCTTCAGAGGACACACTGTAGACTCTCAAAATCATCCTGAGAATGGGGAAAGCCAAACCAGTCTGGCACAGGCCAGAATCGCAGCCGGGCAGCAGCTGCGCGCAGCTCCAGGCTCACCCCCAGTAACACAGATGTGTCCTGGACACCAAATCACCATGCTGCACAACTGCCTCCAGGAAGGAGAAGTTCCCTTCACTGCCCCCTCCCTGCAGCCTGACAGGGGCAGATGTTCCTTTAACCCTTGACTCAGGAGCAAGCACTTGCATGGTACTCTACGTGCCAACTGCTCAGTACCAGGTCTGCCATCTTCTGCAGCAAGGACGGGAACCAATTCATCTTGGGCTGCTTTGGTTCTGCTTTCTTCCAAACAGCAGAGCTCAACCACTGCTCACAGCAGCTCTGAAGCTTGTAGCTACGATACAGACAACTCAGCAAATCTTACTGCACATAATCCTTTCGCAAATTGCTGTCAACTGCATCCCCATCACTTTACCTCATACATAATCCTTGCCACAAAGGCTTCACTCTTCAGTTGTCTTTCCCACACTTTTCCTCTCCTTTGAGAAAGAGAGGGGAGTATTCAGGCAGCACTTAACCTGCCCCAACAGCTGCCGTGGTCTGTGATTTAGGATAAGCTGCTAGGGCCTAAGTATATCATATGAACTACCTGGATTCCTGAAAGCAGGGCAAGAAGGGGAGACCAGCACATGGAACTGGGCTGATTACAGGTGACGAGTCCAGGCACCATTAAGAGAGATAAGGACTAATTTGCAGAAGAACTTAACTTATATACACAAGGGTTTGGCAGCAACAACAACAAGCAGCAGCAGATCAGCGAGGTGGAAGAGAACTGAGCCGAGAAATTCAAACAACAGGGAAAACCCACTCACTGAGACAACAATTTTTTGATTAAGCTGTCTTGTAGCACGCAGCGACAAGCTATGATCATTCAGTGCGAAAAGGCCTTTGCTGCTGCCAGCCAGGACACCCTGCTCCTGCATGGTGTCTTCTCCTGGAAGCTTAGAGAAGACTTCGTCCTGCCCTGGTGCAGCTCCTTCCTACAGGCTGGCTGTACTGCCAGGGGCAGCAAGCCTTTAAGCAGGTTTCACATTGCAAGCAGAGCAGAAGGATTTTGTACGGAGACACGAACCCATGTTTTGTGTCAGCGGCGACACACACAGAGTCACAAACTCACAACACCAGCACGTGAGATTGCCAAGCGCGGGACTGGCACCCTTCCTGCGCACCTTCCACCCTCCAGCCCTTTCTGGGAAAACCACTCCAGGTTTAACGGTAACATCTCGCCTGCTTTATTAGAGACAGACTTGTTAGTAATTGGCTTTGGGGGTATTTGGGGTGTGAACTAATTAGAACTTCAATTTAGTGCTTCAATTATATAATTAAAAAGTATTCTTGTTGTTGCTGCTCATTACAGAATTTTTGTCAGGCAGGTTAACACAGGAAGGAGTATGCTGGTTTAACACAAGCCTCTATGCTCTTAAAATTTTGGGAAGCTGTGGACAGCCTAGGAGAAAACCAGGTAACTAGCTGTGAGAGAGGATGGCAGCTTTCAGGAGCTGAGCACAAACACAAGAGCATGTCCCACTGAACAGTGATTTATCACAGAAGCAAATACATTAGTGAAGCAGCTCGCTTGATCTTGCCATCTCCTCTCTTTAGGAGGACCTACAACACTGCAGTGTCACCTGCCTGTCCTTGTGTGTCCCAACTGCTTGGGAGAGGGTTCTCCATTTATGTACCTTACTCACATCCTCCTCGCCAGAGCACTGCAGGGCTGTCCTACCCTCAGTCCACTGCTGGGATGTCTTTTTGGATGAGCATTTTAATGAGTACTCGTTTTAATGATCACTATTCAGCCTCTTATCACTAATCTGCTTCCTCCAATCCTTCATCTGCAACACTTATAACTCCACCAAGCATCAAGCTCCTAATGGACTTGGATGAGATCAATCCATTAAAAAGCTCTTCAATCCGACTGGTGTAACTACACCACGCACCGTCTCAATGCACTCTCAGCACCATTCTCAGCCCTCCCACCACCGGGGTCAGGTCTCCGCTTATTAAACATCTTGACAGCTACTACAACCTGCAGCCTTGTCATATGGTCATTTCCAGGAATCTGCTGGAGAGCCCATAAGCAGGAGGAGGTTTCGGTATTTCTAACACCACCACTTCGCATTATCTTGCTTCAAATAGTTCCCTCCTGCCAGCCCAGCAGAACAAACTGCTGCAGGGATTTTGTTCTTCCTGAGCAACCCAAAACCATTCTGGGAACCTCATCGCACCCACGCTGCTCAGAGGCGATCATGTCTGTCACGCAAGACCAGCTGCCGTCCTGCTGAGCTCTTCCTCACCTCTTCCCATGCCTCCCTCCCCACTAGCAACCAGTGTCATGTGTACACACATCTACCAGTAGTTTCCTTCCTGATCAGCCCAGACCTGCCTCGGGCAAACCATCTAGCAGGTTTTTAGACACATTTCAGGGGGACTGCGCTGGGAATTCCCCTCTCCTCTGGGCAGCAAACCATTCCTACTACAGCACCATCTATAAAAACCAGGCAGCTACCACTGTTCGACGCACGCAGACTGCCAGGCTCCTCAGCAGCCACTAAACCAGACGAAGCATGGTGCAAGAGAGATGCCCGACTTCAGCTGGTGCAAGAGAGATGACGGAGTTCAGCTGAGCCAAGCTTCCCAGGGCAGGCTTTTCACACACATTCTTTCAGCAGCAGCAGGTCCGCTCCTGGCTGGGCACCCAGGGACACAGCCCCATCGCAGGCCGGCACTGCCTGCCGCACACAGGCCTGCGGGGTGTCACAGGGAGAGAGAAGCACCTGGCTTTCAACCACCACATTAGCTATGCTTCAGTAAGGTCTCTGCAGCCTTCCCTTTTCAGGTGTCCCAGCCATTTCCCGCCCAAGGCGCATTTGCTCTGCAGCAGCTCTCTCTGGATGAGCGTGGCCCATCTACAGCCGAACTGAGATGGCTGCGCGTGAAGACTCTGGCACAAACCTTCACAAAGGCTATTCTAGTAATTAGCGAGCAAAGGACTTGCCTAAGCACTAATGCATTCCCTCCACCCTCCAGATTCACTTTTGTTACAGTATTTCACTAAGGAGGAGCCCTGCGTAGGCACGCTAACAGCTCAGCCAAAGGAGTCAGCCTTGAAAGCTCTCACCCTGCTGACCTTCCCATTGTCCCAGGCGAGCAGAGGGACAAAGCTCCCGCAGGGAAGAGCTGAGCCCCAGAGCAGCATTTGTGTCTTGTCAAAAGCAATGCTTCTTCAAGCAAAGCCGAATCAATGAATGAACAGGAACTGCAAGCGAGAGGCAGCCCATGTGAATTTATGGGAAGCAGAGGGAGCTCGGCCACACTAGCCACGAAGTTTGTCAGGGCTTATTAGGGACAATAGGCAGCCACCAGGCACTGGTGACGGGCAGCTGGGAGCAGGCCATAGCCCAGCACTGCAAGGGAAACCTCCAGAAATATGTCACCTGCCAGACCAACTTCCTAACTTGTTCCTCCATCTCTGACATGCAAGAACCATTCGACCCCACCCAGCAGCCCGGGCTGATCTATAAGACCGAACTGAATTATACACCCCTGTCAGCATTTTTCGAGCTTAAATTTAAGGCAACTAGAGATGGGTCTGAGTCACAAGTGCAACACAGCAATGCTAATTTAATAAAAAGCAGATAAGTGATTTCTAAGCGCTCCCTCTCAAGGTGTAGCCAGCTTGTGTATTAGGCAATTTTGCTTGCCTCTCACTCAGTTTAATAAATCCTCAAATCGACCTCCCTAGACAAGATGTCTACGGTACTACCTCCTCCTCTCAGATGGGAGGTAATTCAACAGAGCTGAAGGCAATCACATATCGCCAATACATACTAATCCAAGTGATTCTCTAGATGCTTGAAAACAAAGCAGCATCTGTATGATCTTTAGTTATGTCCAAATTTCAAACGAGTTCCCATGAAAGCCAGCTCCAGTTTAGATGGTCACTGCAGCAATGCCTTTGAAAAGAGGTTTCATTTCCCTTTGCACACCTTACCCAGTCACTATGCTACTCATCAGGAACTGGCTCAAGGACAAGAAGAGGAACCATTTCCAAGGCCAGGTGAAATTCTGACACAGGGAAGCCAACTCAGCACATTTGCTCCTGCAGATCAGGCTTCCCCAAGCAGTATGGTACCTCTGAAGCATTTTTCCTAAGGTGTGAGCACCCCAGCACCCTCCTTGTCTTTGCTGTTCCCCCAGCATAGCCTTATGTTACCTCTTTAAAAGCAGGAGCATGATGCTGTCCCAGCAGAAGGGTCTTTTGTTCTCTTGAAAACACAAGCCTGGGCAGACTCCACGCTGGAGGAATGGCAAGGTAAATAAGAGGGAAGGTGCCACCACAATTCAACCTTCAGAAGGCACGGGGGATAGGAGCAAGGTAATAGAGTCTGGAATTGATTTAGTAAACCCGTGATCTGACTTCAAATTAAGACTGGAATAGGAGTAGAAAGAATATAACTAATTAAAGAACATGATAAAAAAGGTTGAAGTAGGTATGATCTCTACTGTGAGCAGACCAAAGCTTTAAATCAAAGCTGATCTCTTGCTCTGTTTTAGAGGGTGGAAGAAAAACCTTTAAAAATATGCAAAAGAAGAGTTGACCACATATTTGCATGGATTGGAGTGTAGAAGGATTTCAGAAGTTACAAATTAAAGAAAAAAAAGCCCTTGACTTAGAACTGACAACCCGGCAACAATTCTACACAGAAACCCCTGAGATTGTGAAACGATTTGGTACGATGAACAACACAACGTCAACGATAGTAATTTGTACCATTAAACCACACGAGTGAAGTTACGGCAGTACAGCCACCCCACAACTGTGGGTGACTGCCCTTTTAACTGTGAGACCTGGTCTTCTACACCGGGTGAACCACCTCATCTGGAACAAGGCACCTACGTATCAGCAGAGCTACAGCTTCTGTGTGGGACATTCAGGAAAAATACATATGCCAGCCACAACACTTACACCTGTGCACTGTGCAAGCCCACCCAGACTCTCCTGCATACCGCTCAAGATAGGTACTGAGGTGTTACGAGATGGGTCAGGACCTTCTGCTGTCTCTCCGTACAGTACCAGACATTTTAAGTCCTGCATATGTCCTAGATGACAGATACCATATCAGTAAGAGCAGATCCATACTTGCCCCTGCACCAGCATCAGAATTTCTTCCCATCTTTTCCAGGCTGGTCTGCAACAATGGCCATGAAATTGAGGTTTGCAAATCCCCTCTGCAGAAACCTGGTACTAAATGACTTCTAGCTTATTGTATCCCGAGAACAGGAATTAAAGACAAAAGTAATATTCAAATCTTGTCCAAGGTCCAAATAACAGAAAACTGAACTTAGCATGCGAGTCACAGCCAGAACATTTGCTTGAAACAGCTAAATTTTTTTTGCTGAATCTAGATCACACATTGACACGGTATTGTTATTGAAGTAGGAAGCAATTAACTGTTGGTTTATGGCCACAAACTGAGACTTGATGATTGCTTGTAGGACCCTCTCTATTCAGCACAGACAGTTAACCAGATTATGATTTGATCTAAAATTTGAATGCCATTAGTTTTCCATATTCAAATGCCTCTGAACAGTTCATTATAATCTTGCCATTAGCAATGGAACTCCAATCTTAGATGTTTATATGAAATGTACTCCTCGGGGCTGTATTTAGCAAGTGGGAGCTGAAACGTATTATCCCTCCAACCAAAGCGGAGGGCTGCCCAGGTGCACTTCATCTCAATGACTGCTGCAAGCAGCATCCTTTTACTTCCTTCCTTGCGTGTCTGCGCCAGAAGAAAGAAGAATACCTGATCATTTTGGTTTATTTAGAACAAGCTCAAGATAATGCTCTTCCTCCAGTGGCTGAAAAGCTACTCTTCTGTGGTTTCTTAAAAAAAAGCAGGGCTGAGGTGTGTGTTATGGAATAACAGAGGGGTTTGCATCTATGGAAAACAAATTTTCATCGCTTTGATGAAAGACCAGGCCAGACACATAGAAGTTTTGGGTGCTCCACAGTCAGAGACAAGAATCCATAGTATGCATAGGCATGCTGAATCTACACAATGGACGTGCAGCACCATAGAAGAAAACAAGTCTATACAATGTGTTATTTTATAAAAGGTTTCCATAAAGAAGCACTTATTGCGAAGGCTCAGTTTTCCTCAGCTTCTATTTGTCACATTCATAACAGAAAATACCTCTTTAAAAAGTCACTATTCATTTCTTTCCCCAATTCTATGCTGCCACAATGGTTCTCCATGAGCCTTCATGATCAGTGGTCAACAACTTGTGTCAGAGCTGTCTTGGTACACCTCCATTCCCACCACTGCTTTGTCACCAGCGCTGTCCCTGGGACCTGGAAGGTTGCCACCTCCACGCAATGTGCTCATATAGTTCAAATCACTGCCGTTCACCTCCTCAAATGAGACACCCACCCCTCACCACAGCCTACCACTGCTTCCCAGCACCAAGGGCCCTCTCAGCTGGTTTCACCTCGTACCCCCAGCTCCAAACTCAAGGTTATGCCATACATCTGCAGCTCATTCGGGGAATAAACTCACCTGTTTTCCACTTCCCCACTACCAGTACTCAGACCTAGTTTAAAGCCCTGGTTCCCTTGGCTAGGCATTTACCCCATCTAGCACCTCTCTCCTTTCCTTTGGGATCTCACTGCACTTCTCACCCCAAACATTATGAGAGCTCATTAGCTCATAACAACATCTGCCTGATGCTAGGAGGTGGTTTGCAGCAGTCCTCAGCCCAATCCTGCACATGTTACCTTACTCTCCACCACAGAGATGAGAATCTGCTCCATGATGCTGCTGGTTGCTGGGACAGAGGTCTGGATGTGGCCGATGACCACACCGATGGCCACACGGGACAGCTCGTAGCTGAGGTGGGTGTTCCTGCGCACCAGCTCGATCAGTTCAGCGCCTATGGTCTTGGGCACGGATGCCACCAGGCCACTGGGTTCTGCTGGCGCCGGCTCCACGGCAGCCACCTTCTTATCCTCCAGGCAGAGGGAGTTGAAGGCATCCAGGCTGGCAGGGGGGGCCGGGGCAGCTTTCTTCACCTGAGAAGTCTTCTCCACATCCACAGTGTGGGACCTCTGGGTCCCCCCTTCAGCCGGTGGTGCCGGGGCAGCCCTCTTGGTCTGGGGAGATTTGCTGGCCCCATCCTTTGGGGAAGTCCCGTAGCGGGAGTGGGCCACAGAGCCGGCGTCCAAATTACGCGTTATGGTGGTGTGGACACTCCGGCTTGGGACAGGGGGTGGGGTGTTGGCAGGACTGGAGGTGGCTGTCGGGAGAGCAGTCTCTGACGCAGAAGAAGCCGTGTACAAGGTATCCAGGGATGTCGTGCTTATAGAGGAGGCGCTAGAAGCTGACCCAGGGATGATTTCAATAGTGTCTGAAAGGGAACAATTAAAAATGCCTTAGCAACAGCATCAAAGAAAAAAAGAAAAAAGAAAAAAACAAATTGCTACAGTGCAGTCCATTAAAAGGCTCATTGTGCATGCGACCAGAGCAGTTTAACTGCTCTTCCTGCCTCACTTATCTCAAAGCAAAATTGTACCAGTTCTCTCTGGAGCATTCCCACACAATCACCTCTTTAGAAAGGGGAAAAACTACTCTATTGAGATGAATACCCTTCAAAGGGCTTAGTGTTTTACGCAGGGGAAGGGAGGGAGGGAGGAACAGGACTAAGGGACAGAAAAGTCTTTTCCCCCGGCTTAGTAAGGGCCTTTTTCTGCATTCAGGATCTAAGCCCTCACTTTTGAATGATGGTGCCTGTGAATTGCAAGACACTGAAGGCTTCACACTCCAGCCTGCGCCTCCCTCTTGCACGAACCTTCACCAACTGCACACCACAGTTAGCACCGACGGTGAAGGAAACATTTGGCTGACAGCACCTCTAGTCTCTCCCTTTCAGCACTCTAAACCCTTTGATCACGAGCTCCACAGCCCTGCTAACATCCACTGCTTTCACAAGCCTCCACATTATCTGCTCTGCTGTATTTCTCCCCCTGCCTCTAGTTTTGACTAGCTCTAGCAGTGGTAGCTGCCCCACCTTCCAAGGAATAAAATCCACTATAAACGAAGAAATGTTAAGATTTTTCTCTCCTTTAACCTGGTCTAATATATATTTTTGGTAAACCTTATCCATTCATTTCTAGGGGGCAGAAATGTATGCAAGTCTTTCCCTGATTATGAAAAGAGTTACTTGAGCAGACACCAGCTACCTTCATCTAGAGCTTCAGGAGAGCAGCTGATGTTGGTGCTGGAAGAGGAGCGCACCCCACGGGGAGCCCAGCTCTCAGGGAAGGCAGTTTCCCCCACACCGAAGGAAGGGCCAGTGGGACAGACCCGTGAAATGCCTTTACTGCACCTCTGCAGACAACTCCAACCCCTCCTGCTCCATTGGTCCTGGGAGCCCTCCAGGACTCCATCCACAACTCCATCCCAAGGCAAGCACAAGCTAGGCAGAAAACAGGGCCCTTCCCTTCTACAGGGGTTCAGCATCCCTCTTGCCTCCTCCTCCTCACAGAGCAGCATTCACAAAGTCACAGCTCCCACCATTGCTTCATTAAATCAAGATAAGGAGTTGAAGGACAGCGACCTTTGTGACTTTATCAGGGAGTGTAGTGACAGGACAAGGGGTAATGGGTTCAAGCTGAAGGACGGTCAATTTAGATTAGATGTTAGAAAGAAATTCTTCACTGTTAGAATGGTGAGGCACTGGAACAGGTTGCCCAAAAAGGCTGTGGATGCCCCATCCCTGGAAGTGTTTAAGACCAGGCTGGATGAGGCTTTGGGCAACGTGGTCTAGTGGAGGGCATCCCTGCCCACAGCAGCGGGGTTGGAACTAAATGATCTTTAAGGTCCCTTCCAACCCAAACCATTCTATGATTCCCACTACCGAGTGAAAAATGGCTCAATACCATTAAGTCAACTGGTGCCAGCCCCAAGTTTCAATTAACTACCTGCAAGTCAACAGCTCTGCCCCGCTCTGCACCAGGGAACATGAGTGGGCTTGAGATGGGCTGTGTGTCACTAATGGTGTGACTGTCACAGCAAAGGAGAGCACTTGGGCAAGCTGATAGCAGCTCAGCAGGATGACCGCTGCCTCTGCCAGCTCAACCACGCTGAAGATGGAGAAGCTCCTGCCTTGGCCCCATGGTCATGACCAGCAGCTCCCCTGCCTGTGGGCGGCATATACACGGCCACGACCTTAGTGTTGTTTCTGCTCCTTACAGACAGCAGCCACTGATTTTATGAAAACCTCATCCAAGCCCTGTACAAAGAAAGCACCTGACAGACTGGGAGCCAAAAGCAGACTTGGGCAGGTCCTGAAAGTGCTACCAGTGAGCTCCCCCTGGTGAAATACCAGGCTCCACACTGCCAGGGAAGACTCCCTCTGCCTTGCTGGGAGACAGCCATGTGTCTGCAGGAGTGAAACACCCACAAGGGTCTTAAATCACCAAGGTTATGTGCTGGCCTGATTAGCCACATGAGCAGGCAGAGAGTTCGCTCCTAGGAGACCACCACATTTCCCGGGGCCACAGGTACTGGAGGACCAGGAGGACACTGTACCTGGCATCCATCCACAGGCACCAGGCTGCCCAGACCCTCCTGGATCAAAGAAGTCATGATCATTAGCATTAAAACCTATAGGAATTCAGGATATATATAAGGATGTCCTCCTACACACAAAGCAAAACCATCCAAGCACCATGACTTATATTGCCCAGTGTCCATTACATGCCTGAGATCTAGACAGCAGTTTGTCCTTACTTTTAACGGGAGCAGCAATCTGTGCGTTCTTGCGTTTCTCTGGAGGTGGAGGTGTGATAGGAGCAGCACGCCGGGGCTGTGGTGGGATCTATAAGGAAAGATTTCAGAGCAATCAAAGGTTGACAATAAAGACATTCTCTGTTATGAAACCTTTCCCGCTTGCGTGTGTCGATTTGTCCTTATATCTGTCTCATCATTCGGGGAAGTTTTCTCAGGAGGACAGATATTAATAGGCAGCTTCCTAGAAGAACAAAGCAGGACTCAAGCCTGCTTCATCCCCTCCCCGTGACAGGCAAAGCAGCCCTTGTTTAATTGCTGTGTTCAGCAGCACACACGTCGTGTAGACCTGTCAAGCATTTACTCCTCCTTTATTCCAAACGCGATCCCACACACTCGCCGTGACTCCACATTACTCTCAATAGCTCTACAGAGGCTGCAAACAGAGCGCGTATTTAGACACTCTTCTGGAGAGATCCATTACATCAGCTACACATACCCTTGCAGAAAGACAAAGCCAAGGACTGGAGAAATGTAAATGCCTTTTCCATGCTTTCAGAGCTATTTGTGCTCATGCACAGAGGGAGAAAATAGGGCTAGACCCTCTGTGCAATCCTACACTACCTATAGTAAGACCCACTGGGAAAAGCTTTTGCCAGGGAGTTGCATTAACTCTCAACATCTGGGATCTCTCCTGTAAGTCTCCTCCACTAAGAATGCTGAGCCAGCAGTGTATGAGCTACAGACCCAGATTCCTGCACTCATCTTTTCCTGTCAGGTCCAGACGTCACGATCACTGACATCACTTTCACCCAGAATTACGTCGGTGTGGTGTAACCTCAGAGTTAACGCTGCTGAACACAGCGGCCAAGCTAGGCAGGAGCACGTTGCATCGATACTCTAATCCTCACATACCAGCAGCTCAGGGCCAGGAGATTCTTAGGGGTCTCTTAGGGCTTCTGCTGCCTGAAATGCACCTCTGTTTTTATGGGATATTGCAATTGCTGCCTGTGGCAAAAGCACCCAGGGCAGCATGGGAAGGGGAAGGAGATGATGGCCTGAATGTCTCAGGTAGCCCAGGTTGAAGCCAGCTGAAATCTATAGTGACATTCAGGCCATCACCCCATGCCCATTTTCCAGGTTTGTTTAGCCCTGGAAGAGAAGTTTTTCTGTGACCTGTCAGTGCTGAACAGCCCTGTAATGCCACACAGGGCACAGAGAGATGCCAGACCCCACAGTGAAAAACTGAGAGAAGCCCCTGAAAGGTCTCCATTTTAAATAGCACAGAACAAGGAGAATGAAAAATGTACTTTCCCCCCCACCCCCTGGATCCAGGAAAGGCAGAAACCTCCTCTGAAATGGGAGCAAAGATATTCCTGGAAATAAGACACCTTCAGGAGCCACCTTCAATCTTCAACACTTGTCTGGTGGGCATCGAGTCAAGACACAGCAGTTTGCACAGCTTACAAAGGCTTTTTGAAAGGGATCTCTTGGTCCCTTTCTTCCACCCAGCTCTAATATATCCAACCTTTCACTATGTCACATAACAAGTTGCTGCTTTACAAGTGCCTTTAGCTGGTGGATTAGCATGAAATACTGCTGTAGACTCCCAGCCTGAGCTCTTCTGCTCTTGTCAATCCATCCCACATTGTTCTCTGGATAAAACGCTATATGATACTTGCATACAGCTTCAAAAATGATCTGTGTTGGTCCAAAAAGAGAATGCACAGCTGAGAGAGGCCAAACAGAGGTCTCTGCATTGCATGGTTGGAAGGCTGGTCCCAAATCTGGAAAGCTCAGCTGTGCTAAAAGCAGAGCCTTCTCTGCAGAGCAACGGAGCTAACAGCACGAGTCGGAGCTGCTTGGCATGGCACGGCCACAATTACAGAAGCAGTGGGATTTAGCAGACAAGCAGGTTCAGAGAAGCAGCATGACATTATTTGGAGACATCTAGGGCTGGGTCATTCTGGAGTATTCCCATGGCTTCATTGGCCCTTCCAAATTTACCATGCAAGTTTAACACAGCTAGTACAGATGAGTGTTTAAATTAATAGATGTACAGCTAATGTTAGCTCAGAGCCCTGCCAGCCTCATTTAGACATGAATTTCCCCGTGCTGATGCCTGTCTGAGGTGTGAGCAGCCGCCGCACGGTCATGAGTCATTAGGGGTAATCAATGGCCATCCCCTCCCTCCACCTCATATCCCAGCTGCTGTATGGGGCTGAGAGGATGTACAACATCAAACCCCCAAGGGAAGGAGAGGAAAGGGGACAAAACATGTTCTGTCCAGCTGCTGTGGGGAAGGTGACCATGCAGGAGTCCTTGCAGCTCAGATGCCTCCTGTCCGGAGGGGAGAAGAAGAGGGACCTTATCAAGGGTCCAGAGAGAAGCACCTACACATGTGTTGAAAGCCTCCCTTGCCCCAGGCCTCTACAAGGGGGCTGTGAAGTTCCCCAAATCCGCAGATTTTACAGCGTGCTTCTCTCCTTTTCCATTTTGCAGTGACCGCTAGCAGAGACTCTGCTCCCAGCGCTGCTTGAGACAAGAGCTGCCTCAACCACCACGCTCCTGTCCCCTTCCCAGCCAGGGTAGGCAGAGACCACCACAACTTCAACTCTAATGCATGGGAATTATGCTGGTATAGTAGGAACCTTTAAACAACAACAACAAAAAAACCCAAAACCCAATAATCCCATACCCACCAGCTCCTCTAGGCAAACTCTGCCAAACCAGACACACTGGTCTGCAGCAAAGGCTTCTGGAAACAAGCATCACAAATGCAGCAGGCTGACTAAAATACTCTGAGACCCCAACCTCCTCACTTGGCAGCTGGTACGTAACTGCCCCAGCTTCACACCTCCTGCTAACTACAGAGGAGCTGAAGAGAGGCTCAGCACGGGCATCATCAGCAAGTACTTCAGCCAGTTCAGCCCTGGGAGCAAAGCCACCCACAGGAAATTTGCACTTCAAATTTTACTTAAGTCTTCAGATGCAAACATAGAATACCCCTGAAAATCCCAAGCAGTGAAAAGCACATCCCAAGACTCTGCTTCTCCAGAATCAGTGAGAAAGTTTAGATTTCAGTAGATCTCCTCTTAGGCAGCTGTATAACCAGTAGAAGAACGCAATGCTGCTTCCTCCATTTCATATTTTCAAAGCAGACAGGAAATCCATTGACTAAGCTGTTAAAATCTCAACGAGCCCTTTCAGCAAAGGGCAAAGCTGGAAGCCCTTTGACTGCGTCCTCAGTGCCACCCAGACAGAAACTGTTCTTTGTCAGCCAAGGAATCTGTCTTGCTCCTTTTTGGCAAGCAACCAAACCACAGACCAGATAAAGACAGACAGGGCATGGGCATGGAGAAGGGGCCGTAAGGCGCTCCATGCTCTTAGCCTGTAAGGCACAGGCTTGAGAACGCAGCTGGTTTGGCTGCCCAGAAAAGAAAACAAATACCAAGGAGAAAATTGGGGTTTGTAAGGATGCCATGTTCTGCATGAGCCAGAGCTACCTTTCATCTCTGCAGATTCACAATTCTTCAAGTATAAAACAAGCCTCATCTGCTAGGAGTGACAGTGTATCAGTACCTCATAAACACTGCCTCCAAACACTTATCCCAGATAGATGAAGAAAAACTACAGTGCACATGTTCATCTGTAGGAGAAGAAAAAAAATCTCCGTGTTCATCCTTGCTTGGCGCCTTTAGCCCTAACACCCAGCTATACCTACACAGCGTAATTGGCCCCAACTGCTGCAGCCGTCCTGGGCTGCTGCTTTGAAGCCTGACTGGTGCCACACAGTAACCTTGGAACTGTGTGTCGCTGAGATTAAAAAAATCTGCTCTAAATAGTATTTCCTGCAATTTACCTTTAATTTATCATGACAAGGAACATTCAGACAAAGCAGGATCTTCGGGGTTTTTTATGTTTTGAGTAGTAAAAATAGGCAGCCACAGCAGATAAAATGTTTAAGGACCAAAGATCTTTGGCAGATTTAACAAGGAGGAAACATAAAGCAGTGATGAGTACTTGGAGGGAGCTCTGCTGCTCACATCAAAACTGTTTTTCAATGTATTCTCTGGGGGAGGCTGTAACTCTTAGAAAGTTGTCAAGAGACAGTCACACAATCTACAGCAGATCTCGCATGTCTCCATAAAACCACAGACCCTCAAGGATCCCAAAAAGCATCATGAGTGTAAGTGGCAGAGGGACTGTTCCAGACTTCTTAGATACAGACAGCATCAATTTACATTGCAGTAAGCCTAGGTAAGCAGCACAAACACTTGATTTGTGACCTCAGCTGCAAAGGCATTTTATTAAACAGGATAAGCGACGTCATACCACCAAAGGAGGAATTTAGAAAGCATCCAGCTGCTGTTACCTGATAGAGACCTTCATCCTCCTCCTCAAACTCAGTGTTTGGAAGACTGTGATGTCGCTCGTACCCCGTCCGGCACACCCCATTGGGCTGCCGTGCCACATCCAGATGGTGATCACTGGACGACTGCGTCATAACCATTCCCTGCGGGGTGGGAGAGTGACCTTTGCGGGACACTGTCTCCTTCCGGTGATGAATCAGCTTTCTGAAACAGAATGATGACATCAGGAACAGCAAAGCTAAAGGAAGGGAGCGATTGCGCTGCAACATTTAAATGATATTTTTTAATGATTTATTGTATTTGGGCTATATATATCAGAATGGGTTACATTACTCTGAACACCAACTCCAGTTTCATTAACAACTAAGGAAGCACTTCTGGGGAAGGAAGGAAGAGGCTTTGCAAGAGCCCATGATTTATTCATCAGTTCGTTGGAGAAAAATGCCTCTTCCTCAGGGGAGAGTCATATATTGCATTGCAAGCTTCAGAAATTGCCTGCACTTTAGAATCGCTGTTCAACTGAGATTAAACCAGCGTGCCTCAGCACAGAGCACGAGGTGTCAGAGAAAAACAGAAGTTCTCCTCACAAGCAATTATTTAAGAACATATTAAAGACCTTGTGCCACATGCCAACCACCTCTACAGTTCCTGGCTGGTAGAGAGGAGAAAATGCATCCAGAAAGGTTTTGGATTTCTCCTCCAAGCCAACAACGCAGCTGAGAGTTTCCTCTCCTTTACATGCACAGGGATAGAGGGGCAAGACCAAAGCACTACTTTGCTGGACATGGTTGACAGGAGCAGCCGCATTGGCTACCAGCTCAAAGCTGCGAAGCTCTGAATGCATCAGCACTTTGCAGCACAGGGACTCAAATCAACAACGTCCAACTTGACTCCCAAGAATAGAAAAACACACAAGCGTCACACACTGACTACCCTCCATCTGCCGGCTCTCCCAGACATCCATCATACTTACTGAAGGACATCTCTCTGCTCCAGGTTGTACTTTCCCCCATTCTTCATGGCCGCATTGTGCACAGCCTCAATGGCGCGATCAATAGACTGGAGAACCACATCTTGTTCCAGCACCTGAGGAACACAACATCCCACGTGTTACTGCGCTGCTTCAGCTGCGGGTCTTTTGCACCAGAGCTTATGGCAGAAGAGACCATAGTACAGGAAAGCCCCAGAGCTGTCACAAGCCAAATGGCCAAACAGCTTCCAGAGCCAAAACCCCATCTCAGCACCATCTCGCTTTTCCCTCCTTCCTCCAGAGGAAACATATTTGAAGCTGTGCTTCAAACTGAGTCTGCCCATTCAAGGTTTACGGTTGGAAAAGAAAGTCACTGTTACAAGCACCGAAGTCCAACGTTCCCTACAGGAAGGCCAGGGACAGAGCTTCAGGACCACGCAGCAGTCTTGAATATTCAGCCTGCTGCAGGGAGCTTTCGAGATCCCACTGCAAAGCCCAGCCTACCCCAAGCTCAATTATTTCTGGCCTTGCTGCCTTACTACGGAGCAAATACACAGCCGTGAATGTTAGAGTTAAAATCTGGTGGCCTTCAGAGTCCATTGGCTCTGGCTTTGCATTTTTGCTCACTTTTTTCTTGATGTTTTTTATACTTGTTTTGCAACTTGAAGTGCCTTTTCCAAATCTCCACCCAAACTGTCATAGCAACATTTATTCCTCCTGCCAACCAGTTTAGCACTCGTTACTGCAGCTGAAATAAACACCAGCCTTGAAACAAGGAATACCAAAGACATCGTTCCCTGGGCTTACACAGGAGACCGGGAGAGCCGTAGTGAAGGGGCACAGGGAGGTAAAGCAGGTTTCCACACTTGGGACATTCTTCAAGGCTTTGTTTATCAACAATTGACATGCCTTCAGAAGAAAAGACCTTTACAGGACTAAGGTCGAAGGCAAAGGACATGCTACCGAGCCTTTGCTGTGGATCCAGCAGACTTGCAGGTCTCCCACAAGCTGCCACTGATGCCTGCACCACCCATTCGGTACCACCACTGGCAGCCTCAGCCCGTGCCCGCAGGGGAGGAGCGGGAGAGGAAAGGAGAGCTTGGACTCCAGCACTCATTGCAGCTGTTTCAACACTAAAACCCCCTTCATCTTCGCTTGCTTTGCCCCCCCCTCCCTGCATCAGGGTAACCATTTATCCAGCCAAGGAGCTGCTGGAATCTCGTCAAGGATGCACCTTAATTGGCCTTAGGGGGCTGCAGAGCAGCAGAAGGCAAGCCCTCCCCGCCGGGGCCCAAAGTGCCTGCTTCCATAGCACTGGCATGCAGTTTTCTGCTAACATGCCATGTATTATTTATATCCTGATTAATTACTAAACCAAATGTGAATTAACAGCTACCACAGACTGTGGGGAAAAAAACAACCTCTGACCAAGGTGGGGATGAGAGGCCCCCTCTGCAATACTCAGCTTCAAAAAGAAAAATTTAGGAGGGTTTTTTCGTTGTTTTGTTTTCCAAAGAAAAAGAGATAGGAAAGAATGCAACTGGGGAAAACTTTAAAAATAAACCCAGGGACGTTAAAATACATCTACCAAATTTCTTAAAGTATCAGACCAAGGACAAAACCAACACTCAGAATCTAACTTTGTGATGAAGCCTCCAAGCAGCCCCATATGGCCTGGGGAGCATTTCACCTCTAACTACAGATCTAAGTAAGGAAATTCAGCAAAGTGCATTTGAACACATTTAAAGGAGTGTTGGAAGGAGAAGGAAAGGCAAATTATTTCACAGAATGCAACTCGTTTTCTGAGAAGAGAAAATTACGGCAAGCTACGTGCTTTCTCCGGGAACGGGGAGCAGTGCAGAATCCCGAGGGGAACGCCAGTGCTGCTCTGAGCACAGAGCGCCCTCCCCTCTGCACAGCCCATCTGCCCTCGTGCTGCTCCCACATGAGCTCCCACCTCAAAATTCAACACAACTCCTGCTACATCCCCCAAACGCTCACCCTGGTGCACTCCCTGGTCCCCCGCTTATAGACCATCCACATTCACCAGCACCCCCTGCAAAACCACCAGGAGATGCACCCCTTCGTGCTGCCCTCCCTCACCCTCCCCAGCGTGCCCGGCTTTCACCCACACGGGTTTCAGCCCTTTCTCAGTCTGATCTTCCCAGGAAAGATCACAGTACACAGCGCTGAATCCCACTGAACAGCTCAGCGTCTCTGCCCTCTTCTAGAGGGCACATCAACATCGTCCACAGCCCACAGGAATCCACAGGCTGGAGCTGCTACTCGCTGTGCTATGCCATTTGTTATGGAGAGGGTGATTCTTTCCACACTAATGCAGCAGCGCTGTGACAACCAGCTTTTAGCTGCTGTGCTCTTTCCTTTGTTTCCACTCCCCAACCCTCTATTAACAGGGCCCTGTCAAAAGGGCTGGAATAAAAAAAAGCAGCATTAACTTGCCACTTGCACTTTATGACATTGTTGATGCTGCTCATAAATCACCTCCTCCTCCCTTGCTCAGCTGAGCTGGTCAGGGCACACGGTCTTCAGCGCAGGGGCTGCCTGGCATTTAGGGTTTGTAGGACACCCAGCATTGGGGTTCCCTTGCGCTATGGTCATGAACTTAAATAGAAGTCGGTATCTTGGATAAATGATGCGATTAGAAGGAATCCACACGCTCCTTGGGTTAACCAAAATGGCATCACTTTGAAGATGACCAAAAGCACACTGCAGTTAAAAGGAGCATGGGTTGCATGGGGGCAAAAGTCAGGTTTGCCAATGTCTCACCTACAATCTCCTCTCCCCAGGACTCAAGGGATTACCTGCTCACAGCAATTCAGGATAACGCACACGCCTCGCCATTCTCCCCATGCAATTAAGGGAGACCAGTCACTCCACAGCACTGACAGGGGATTCCTGCCAGCATCCAGCACTGGCTCCTGAGGATGCTCACGGCTGGGATGCAGGCAGGCAGAGATCCTGAGCAGTATGGCCAGGCAGCGTACACCCCCACCTTCTCACACGCTTGCAGTCAATCCTGGCAACGCATGGCTCTACGGCCTGCAAAAAGAGAGGTCACAAACCGGCACCAAGGTAATGGAGCAGAGCCTTTGAGCTCAGGCAGGAGAGAATCGTGCTCAGAAGTCTGCTCTCGCCGCCGCAGGGCCCTGCGCAGAGATCCAGCCCCTGCCCCCTCCCACGCTCCAGGATACAGAGATGAAACCCTGCTCATCGTGGGCTAAGCTGAGGCTCACAGGGAAACAGGGATGCGCACGAAAAGGGCATCACTGTATGGTGTGCTGTCAGAAGAGACATACCAAGTAAAGCCCAGGAATTCAGCTGGATTTACTGAGCTGTGCTGGTAACCGCACGGGTGGGGGCTGGCAGAGCCCCGAGCAGCCGCTGCAGCACGCTGGCTGTTAACTATATCCTTCACCAGTTACCACCTCACCAGTGGCACAGCCATGCCAGCGTCTCCCAAAAGGTGGGGAAGGCAGCAGGGACAGTGCAATGACAGTGGTGGAAGGTCCTGGCCGCGCATGACCGCCCTTATGGGGTGAGCGCAGGTGTCTGCTCGGTCGGCGTGGGGTGGCAAAGCTACCAGGCTGTGGCCCAGAGGCATCAAAAGGACACCAATTCTGCCCAATGTACTGTGAAAACGGAGGGATATTTTAGTGTGGTATTGATCCACATTCACATGGCCCCTCACCCCAGAAAGGAGTGGTCGCCACCCTCTCTATCAGATATTTCTGGTTTGATCAAATAAAACGCTGCATCAGAGAAACGCTGGGCTCTATAAACAGCCTGTCACAACCAGGCTGGCTACAGGGAGAGGCAGGGGAAGAGCAGAGCAGTGACCCCTGACGATCACCGGCTAGACTGGCTGATGGGCCACTATCAGAGAACCGGGGGCACTGTCGGCACCTTGCAGGCAAGCTGCCCTGCAGGAACAAGTTACAGCTCAATTAGAGCCACGAATATCAGCTAGGAAAAAGAACTTCTTCCTTTATAGCCCAGCGTAGGAGACTCACAGAAGCATCAATAAATCATTACTTCCTCTCTCCTTGCTAATAACACGAGCAAACAAAGAGTTTCCCCAGAGCCGGCTGCCAGCTTCCTCCTGCCCCCATTCGCAGGAGGGGGGTCCCCACCTCTGGAAGGATAGAGCCAGACCTCAGCACTGCTCTGGGATGCTCTGCACACTCCCCCACTTCCCGAGGCAGGTGGGGAAGGATGTCTTTCCCAAGGCCAAAGCCAGGCTTTCGAAAAGCATCCTTCCAGGATGTCTCGGGGGTAACTGGGCTCAGCCAACACGAGGCACGGCTGTGCCCAGGCAGGGATGCGGTCACCCCCATGGCTCACATCACTCTCATCTTCACTGCCCCAAGAGCAGCCTCCCCAAAGAGAGCACACGTGCACAGGACATGTCACACACCTCTGCTTCCCCCCACATGCAGGCTGATGAGAGACACGAGCACTTCGGAAAACACTATCGGTGTCCTGGCTGCGCAGGCAGCACGACCTCCTCTCCCGGGGCTATCGAAAATGTCATCCCCCTCCCTCTTTGTTTTGAGTTCTTCCACATGTACCACTGGCGTTGTTTAAATGCACTCACACAGAAGAACCTGCTCAACAGTCTAGAATAATCATACCTTTCAGAAAAGCATTTTCTAGACAAACAGGCTGACAGCCGCATCAGCGCAGACAGGCTGAGCCACCCTGCGTGTGCGAGACTCCCACATTTATGAAAGTGGCCCATTAACGTATGGCAGACTTTTCTTTGCCTCCGCAGGGGGCTGATCCAAGAAAACATGACTTTTTTTTCTTCCTGCCTCCCCAGTTTTTAGCGATCAAAGGCGTTTGCTCTCCTGCGTGTGCAGGAATCAGTGCCCCTCATTCCTGCGGCTGTTTTTGCAGCCATAGGGGTGCCCAGGCAGGGCTGCTGATTTTCACCCTCATGCCATTGCTCCAGCTCTCACGATGCGACAACAAAAGACAAAGTTTTTTGTGTCCAGTGACAGCTCAGTTTTCACACAGCTGCGCTGACACGGACCACGGCTGAAATTAGGATATTTCTCCCGCTGCCGTACACAGGCACAGGCTGGTTCTTTGTTAC